TCCCCGAGTTATGAACATACCCCAAAAAAATTTTGGCGGGCCCGTACGCGGGTACCACGCGGGTGTTGGCGCTCATCTTGGGGACTGGGGCCGGCAAGTGCATGTAGATTAAGTTCCCGAAATTCCAGCCCCGCAGCTTTTATAAGTCTTGAGATGAAAGTGCGTGACAGACGCACACACAAACAACAGACGCACAGACACACAGAGACACGGACACACAGACAACCCCTTGTCAATATGCGTTTTTGCATTGCATAGCTGCAAAAAACGCATAAAAATGAATTTCATGAGATATCGAGCTTACTGACGAGACCCCGTATTAGCATACTACTACTAGGAGAAGCAGCAATTTTACAAGGTACGTGATAAGGTTCAGCAAGTTACAGCACATCTCCATGTAGCATTACTGTTTCGATATATCGTACAGGACATTATCAGGACAATGTACGCCAACAAAAGTTGGACTAGTGAGATATGGTGAGGATGACAGACAACAGATGGACAAAGCGGATTACTGAATGGCACTTGCGAGATGTTGGATTTATAACTGGGAAAGCCGCGAATGAGATGGGAAGATGAAATAACGACTAGGTGGAGTTACGTGTATGAATCTGTGAGCATGTAGGCATACAGGAGCATAAAAACTCAAAATATCACCAAAAATTGAAGTACAAGAAGGCAAAATAAGGAGAAACCTCAAGAAAACTTCTTCAAACTCTAGCGGTATTCCTGTGTTACGTGTAACTTCCTCTACAGCATAAACAAGTTCCGGGCCAACACCATCTCCCGGTATTGTCGTAACTTTGATCTTTCGCTGTGGATACACTGTAGTTGCATTTGCATTCTGCAAGAAGACTGAGAAACTCAACGAAATGAGATATTTCATAATTCCATGCTGTTATATTAGCCAGAAGTAAGACATATATAAGTTTTACGAGAAAAACACCATCGCATTATCACATTTTGCGACTAGGATATTTTCAGCTTACAGGTATTCGTATGTAAATTAAAGATACTTCTGGAGCACTGCTGGATCCAGGGGGGGGGAGGGGGAAGGGGGGGGAGTGAAAGGGGTCTTTCGCCCTCCCCCCGAGTAGGTAGCAGTTGTTTTACTGTACAAAAGTCTGCTCGACACCTCTGTTGCTACCCCTCCTCCAGGAGCCTTCGAGAGAGGGGAGGGGGGGGGGGGGGGGG